TCAACAACTTTGTTTCTAGCAAAAATTTTAAATTTACTATTCCTCTGATAATTAATTACAGAAATGAACTATTTCCATGAGTAGAAGGTCAAAACATTTCCAAGGGCTTTCATCATTTAGAAAAGAATGAACAAGGTCACAGGTGGCAATAATTCTGCTCCAGCAGCTCTTGGACTCCAGATATAATAAAGATTATTTCTGAAAAAGCCTCGTCTTCATACAGAGATTTTTTTTTTTTTAAATTTTCAGTATACGGAGTTCTTTACAACAGTTGAGAGAGAAACAGTGTGTGATGATGATGATGAGCAATTAGCCTTTCAATGACATTGAAGTGTGACAACCTTACCAAGAATTAAAATAGTTTGTTTTCAGTCATTGTCACAGCACAGATGTGTGATGTTTTATGTTGAAATTAGTGGAGCTGCAGTGAATCATTCTTCTATAATCTTATTTCAGTTTCTGAGTACATCTGAAAGGTGATCTCTGAGAAATGATACAATGCTGGATGAGGAAGACAGAAAATGATTTCTGTTTCTTCAACTGTTGACTCCCTTATCAACAGAAACGTTCAAAGTCTGTAGAAGCTGGAAACTGACCAGATCTGTATACTTCCAAAAATATGATAGTTGAAAAATTCATAATTTCTCTTGTTTTTGAGACTTTGGACCACAAAATACAATGCAGTGGAAGACTGATAAAGGATCATTTAGCAATAGATGGATGCTCTTGAAAATATTTTTTTTTTTCTCTCTAGGGTCCCTTTTCTGTTACTCAATTCAGTGCAAACATTCATGTTTTTTAAATGGTCTTGTTATAGAAAATGAAATAACAGATTTACAGCTAATTATATCTGAGGTGCTTTCTGACTGGTATGTCTTATGATTTCCTTTCTGACATATAAACAAACAGCAGTACCCCTTTCCAACATGATGACACATTAATTCTGTTTAACCACTTATTATTAGTTTTTCTTTCAAACATATTTTATCTGCATTACCCTTCTGATGGTATAAAAAAACTTCTTGCTATTTTTGAAATTTAATTTATAATTCTCTGCTTCAAATATATTACTGGCAGTGGTTTTATTGGTAGAATTGTTTTTGTTGTAAGAAGTGATTACAGTAGAGGAAAAGCAAGAATAACAAATGCAGTGATGTCAACCACGTACGTACCAGTGGCCAATTTCTTACAAAAGACGCCTTAACAAATCAGTGGTGAACCTGCCCTTTATTTGCTACAGTAGCATTGCTGGTTCAAGATAGGGGTGTGCTAAGACAACTTAGCACAAAAGTAAAGCTAATCATTTCCTTGGATATTTGCAGAAGGAGTCATAAATTTATGCATTTTCTGGCTTGCTCTCTTCTTTCATAGTACTGTGTAAAGCCCAAAATAAAAAACCATCTGTCCCACATCCAAAATTTTCAATAATGTGTGCAGCTGGCTAAGCACCTTTCAAAGTTTGTCCCACCTATTTACTTCTTTGAACTCTTTTCAAATATGAAATAAAGCAATAAAGCTATTCAGATGCACAGAAGATCCATGGAAAGAAGGGGTGGGACAGAATTGTAAAAATACATGCATAACTTAAAAAAGTATCTCAAACACTAAATATGTTATCTTTTTAGGGTAAGCATCATAGGCATGCTATTATCAGTGTTGGACTGATAACATGGGAATGAAAGGGAAAAAAGGCAGCAAAGAGAGTTTAGGAAAAACAGAACAGGATAGTTAAAAAAATAAAAAGAGATTGAATCTTTGGGGCAGGTGGCATCTTTCATGAAACAGTATGCATTGTAAACATTTTTTTTTTATAATTTGACTTTGACAGTGTATATCACAGAGATATGATTTAAATTATGCTTATTCTATAGCTCAAGATTTTTATCCAGATTAAAATAAATCCCAAATCCTGTTTATCCAGTCCATGCATAATTATGTGGAACTGTTTTTTATCAAAATACATTATGTAATAGAATAATCAAAACATGTAGAAATGAAGCAGAAGGGAGCAAATGAACAAATAAACAAGATTCTCAGCATATTTCACCTGCAGATCTTTAAAGCTAGTTTTGAATTTAACATTTTCAAATGAGCATAAAGTATTATCTTCTGGTTTTTTATCTAAGTGATAGGATTTTGTTTAGAAAATCAAGTTTAGTCTTAGTGCAGTATTACTTCTGAGGTCAAAAGGTTTCTGTTTAATTTCTTTTATTATTTTCCATTTTTCATGAATTCTTAAATATATTAATGGAGATAATTTAAAGCATCTTTTGAAATATATTCTCCAGTTCTCTTTATATATATATATATATATTTGTATGTGTGTGTATATGTTGTGTATATATATATATATATAAAATGCAAATTAATATGCATTTCATATTTCAAAGGAGAAAGACGACTACATTTTTGAGTTTTCAGTCATGAAACAATAATAAAAAAAAAGATATTGGATGAAATTCTACCTTCAGATATTTGCAAAAAACCTTCAAGTAAATATTGGCTGGAGTCAAACATTTGTGGCATTGAGGACAGTATTAGCCCTTTTTGTGTAAATGCAAATATATCATGCAAAATTATTAAATAACACATGCAAGTCCAACTCATATGCACATGGATATAATCAAGAAAACTTCATTGGTGCTTATGCTAACATGCATATATGATTTGAACCAAGAGCATTCACGGAAAGGAAAATGCAGAATGATCAGCAGCATGGCAACTTTGTCAGAGTGACATTCCTACAGAGCAACTATCTAATGCAAACCAATATGCACATGACCTTTTTTTGGACAAAGCATGACTTGAGTTGTGGGGTAAAACAGTGATTAATAAATGTGGTTAGATCAGCATTTTTTAATGTCTAATTTTTAATAACCATTTTGCCCCACATCTGATTCTATTTGGATTATTTCCCTTTGCTATCTATCTCTTTATCATGCAAGAAGTTAGAATTAAAATTAGAAAGCACTGAACAAGCTCTAAACCCGACAGATAACATGGATATTCTCCACACTTTATACTGGAATTAAGTTTGATATAAATACCTCCTGCTCTTACCAGTGGGTGGTGTTATTCCATGTATTTAGGTGTGAAGCAGACAGGAAAGAGATAAATCTTTCATAAGTACAGCATAAATCACATAATTCTTATATTATCCTTGCACTAAGTGTAATTCATTCAAACTCACTTTTAAAGGAAATTAAGTGATTGCCACAAAACTTGAGGGATAGAATTGTGAACAGAATAAGAAATAAAAATAAACAAAAAAAAAGATACTAAACTTGGGTTTTTTTCCACATTTTATTTAAAAGAAAGCCTCCATACTGCCTCACAATCATATTGCAGAATATGGTCTATTTAATCCATTTAGTTGTTATTTCACACTAATAACAAATCCAAGACTAATTCCAGTACATCAGTTCCTGAATTATGTAACATTTCACCTGGAAACACATCCAGTTTTAGTTATTATTTCATATGAAACAGGTGTTCTTAGTACATCCATTAGTGGTAATGAATTAGTTAAGGCGCACATGATTTTGTAATATCTTCAGAAATAATTCAGTGAGTTCCTTTAGGCTTAGGCTGCACCCACCTGCAGCTTAAGGGCATGATCCCGGAAAGTGCTGAGTACCCCACAATCCCACTTGCTATCAGAGGGAATTAGGGCCATTCAGTGCCACACAGGATGAAGCTACTGATGCTGCCTTCCACTGCAGTAATCCCCAACAGGGGTTTATACAAGTATCCTTGGGCTGTGCTGTGTATGTTATCCCTTTGGAGGGTACACTCATGGAGGTGGGAGGTGAAGCCCACTATATGTAATTTTTGTCTTATTTTTAAGATCTGCTTTACTTAATGGTAATGATAAGGTCGAACTGTTAGTGATTCAGCTTTACGAAAGCTTTAATCAAGACTATCATTTCTGCTGAGTGCACAAAAGTGTATCGCTCTGACAGTCATTCACAAATATATGTATAGATACCACATGGAAGCTGTTTGAATTTATGTCGAAATTTTGGAGGTTGATTTCTAGTTAAATTTTAACAAAAATATATAGATATTTTTGTTCCTGACAGCTTTACGGAGAGCTCTGCAAAGTCTCTAATCTCCATCTCTGTGAATAGCTCTGGAAAGCATCCCTCTAGAGACACAGATTTACAGATCCTAAAGATGCACAATGCTCTCAGAGTCTTCAAATCGATCTCAACTTTTCAGAAAAAAGTGTTACTGTCTCCAGAAAATAAGACAGAAACAGAGATGCTTACTTTTATTCATTAGCAGATTGTTATTCCTTTCCAGTTGGCCGTATAATATATATTTCTATAAGGAGAGTTTACGGGGTTTTGAAAATCAAGAACAGAAAATGAGAGTGTTGTGCCCTTTTACTTCCTAGAATTGAGTTTCTGTGGGTGGTTAGTAGTTCTGTGTTGATTTTCAGTGCAGAATTATTTCAGTGGTTGTAAATGCAAGTGAACTACTGTTCAGAATATCATGTAATTCAAATTTTCACTTTGAAAAGAGCAGCTAAACCTGCCTCTTCAACTCACTCCCAATATACCTGTTCTAGATTGCACAGTAGGATTTTGAAAAAGAACTGATCTCCACAGATTTTATAGAACAGTAACTCTGTAGATACCAACACACGTAATCTTGTTCGATACTGGAAGTGAAAAATCAGGCCAAAGAACAAACAAATTCTGAAACAGGTATGTCTGAAAAAAGAAACCTATGAAATTTCTCTCTCTATTTAGGCTTTTAATAGTCACCTCCAATTCTCAATGAGAATTCAGATTTCTGATATAGCTTGTGATAACCTAGGCAGATAAGTGTTTGGATGCCAAACTTATATTGGCTTGGTTCTCAATACTTGCTATATATCCACCTTCTCAGGTTTGTACTTTTACAGCTTATAAATAATAAACATTTACAATCTCTAAATTCTCATGAATTTATCTATTCCTTGGCACCAGTGCCTGAAAAACAGAACAACATACCATGTTCATGTCAATGCCATTGGTGTATGTCCATGCGTGCTGGAAGTATTCCTCAAGTCGCTGCCTCAGAGGGTTTGGGATTTGATGGAAGCGTATAAACTCCTTCACTCGCAGCATCTGCATGTGATACCGTGCAGTTCCCGAGTAGAGTCTTTGGATTATTGCAGATACATTTCCAAAAATGCTAGCGTACATTAATGCTAGATTAAATAGAAACAAAACTCGCTTAAGTCATAACGTCGGGGTTTGCAGATGATGCAACAGTTCTTACAATGTACTTTGCATGTAAAACAGCTCAGATGAGAGTATTTACATTTTAAGAGATGTAGAATTGGTTTACCTGAAGCTTTTTATTGATTTGATTGTATGAGTACCTACTGAGTTAGCAGATGAGGCTTAAACACTAAATCATAATCAAATTGATAATTTTTATCTTTGAAGATTTGTAGACCTGAATTTAGTGTTGTAAGTTGGGTTCACCTAATTCTAGAGACTTTTCCAGAACTAAACCTAAGGAACTAAAGCTAAGTTCAAGATAACAACAAACGGCAGAGTTAAAAAGCTATGCATACATTTACAGCTTCAGGGTTTAAATGAAAAATAAAATATAATCATGATTATCCAAATATGATGGGCCATAGTTTCCTAAATCCACTCAAAACTCAGCTTCCTTTCTCATATAGGATTTGCTTACAGACACTGATACGCAACACAAAACTTCTGACAGTTTGGATAACAGATTTTGAGTAGTCAAGGAATTTGACTACTTCCTGACACTGAATGAGTCACAACATATTTTTGCATACAACATTGCTTTCCCTGGGAATTTGCCCTTCCGGCTGCATGCTTATAATCTTATTAGCTTAGAATGTTAAGACATTTGCTCAAACACTGAGGAAAAAAATAAGATTAAAAAAAAACACGATAAAATTACTTACAGCCAATCAACATGACACAGATGGAAAAGATTTTCTCTGAGTTGGTGTTTGGAGACACATTTCCAAAACCTACACTTGTCAGACTGCTGAAGGTAAAATAAAGTGCTGTAACATATTTGTCCTTGATGGATGGTCCAGAGCTTGCATCACTTTTATTATAATGCTTTCCTAGTTGTTCTCCTAAAGAATCCAACCAGCCAATCTTGTGAGCCAAGTAAGGTCTTTCTACATTTCCAATTGCATACCAAATGCAAGCAAGCCAGTGTGCAATTAGTGCAAATATGCACATGAGGAGCATCAGAACTGCAGCACCATATTCGGAATATCTGTCCAATTTCCGTGCTACCCTCACCAAACGCAGCAGTCTAGCTGTCTTCAGAAGACCTATTAATGTAGTTGTCTGTAAAAATAAGAAAAAATTTCTCTGTTAGCAAGTGAATTCTCCTGAATAGTAAGTGTGAAAAAAACACTCCAGATTACCTCCATTTCAATGTAATCTTAATTTCATTTTCTTTAAACTATCAATTTCATTATAGGAACAGTGAAGAAAATAGGAAATGCATGTTTTAAATAAAGATATATTGAAGTTGTCATTATCTGCTCAATATTTTTTTCATTTTGAATACTTTACTTGCTCTGAACTCTTCAATGCACTGTAATGGGCATAAATGATCCATTAGATTAATGAGTTTTTTGACATGATTAATTCTGTTAAGTTATTGGAACTACTTATAATGAATAGGCCATGTAGGCAATAAGTATTTTTTAACAAGGCTGTGTGACGATATTCAATCCTAACTTTAAAACTCCCTGCAATGCTCTGGGCACACATATTCTAGAAGGTAGGAGTAATAGCGCAGAAATTTGCCAAAGTTTCTTCACCCAGAGGGTGTTTGGGCACGGGAACAGATTCCCCAGGGAAGTGATCACAGCACCAAGTCTGGCAGAGTTCAAGAAGCACTTGGGGAATACTCTCAGGCACATGGTGTGACTCTTTGGGGTAGTCCTGTGCAGGGCTAAGGGTTGAGCTCAATGATCCTTGTGGATCCCTCCCAACTCGGCATGTTCTGTGATTCTGTAACCTACAAATATTCTTCTGTTTGTAATGGTAAGAACACTCTATACAGGTAAAAGAAGATGAAGCAATGTGAACAGAAAATCATGGAAAAATTACTGTTGCCAGACTCCAGATGAATCTTTTCGCATCTTGTATGTGTAGTGGTAGAAGCCAGTAAAAAAGTACTGTGCCATTAAAAAAATAAATTGGGGCAGTTATAAACCAGGGATATATTACAAGTTTTTTGGTACAAGCCTGCACTATTACTCATCGTAGCCTTTTTGATGCTTGGATCTTTTTAAAGGAAGCTAAAGGTTATTAATAAGTTTGCAAATTTCAATTAGTAAATAATTTTCATACTTGTTTATCACTTATAAAAGAGATGGACAACACTGTAAATAGGAACTACTTGATTTCAAAAATAACTTGACTAACATTTTCTCTGCATTAAGTCTGAACATGTATTAAAGTATTCAGTAAATGCAAAGACTGAATAAATTTTTAATGAGTTTTTCCTACTTTTTTTTTTTTTAAACATGCATGTATATTACAGGACACTGGAAAAGTTTTCCAAGCCTCACAAAGCACTCTGACAGTAGCATGAGTCACATTAAAGCTTTCTTGCAACAAGTACTAGACTGGTTTTTATGTTTTATTAAATCCTTTTATCTACCATGTTTCTGAGTAAAATCCTAAAGCCTTTGGAACAAAATAAGAGTCTTTCTTGGCTGCATTTCTCAGTGAATAACTCAATATATTGGTCATATTTTCTGAGCAGATGAGCAAGAGGATGTAGATAACACTCTTTTGTTCATTTTAACATCCCAAAGAATAATTTCATGGTGAATGTTGCAGTACCACATAAAAAAGGTTTGTGAGCTCAACAGTCTGAGAGACCATATCCTTCAAAATGCTGTGCCTAGGCTGAGATTCAGAAGCCTGGAAATATTGCCATTAGGTAATTTTTTTAAGGTGGATCAGGCTTATATATTTATGATCCCTTAAGAAAAGCTAACATTTATTCTTAGTAGGGTGAGATGGGTATAGAGATGTATATCTCTATGTTATGCAAAAGGCTCGATATTCTTACAGTGCCTCTTAAATAGATCAGATAGTAGATTGAGAACCCAGAATATGTCTACAGTGTTCCACCCAATTCTTAAGATGAGACTTGCTAATACTATTCATTCTCATTGCCAATCTTATGCTTAGATACTACATCAGTGTGAGCTCTGGAGTATGTGGAAGGTGTATAATACAAGCAAACTCAATCTCTTCGAGGGTGAAATCAGCATGAATGAGAATAGATTTGCTTTAAAGCATCAAGAAAGTCATCCTGAGTCTTACTTCACTTTAGCACAGGGGAGAGGCTTTGACACTAAAATATAGCTGTCAGTAGAGGTGGAAAGCATGATCTGCAAGTTTTGGTGTGCCTTACGTGCTGTCCAGCTCTCAGCATAGATGTAGCCTTCACATAGTAACAGTACACCTCCCACGTGTCACTTGCCAGGGACAGAACTTCTTGTATTCAAAACTATGTCTTATGCAATGTAATTTTCTTGATGTGCGGGAATACTTTGATCAGCACAACACTCAGTGAGGCAGAGGTCCTACTCTATCAATTACCCAGCCCACCTCATCTAATGCCAGCAATTAATGTCTGCAAATAGCAACCTGATAGATGCTGCTTTCTTCCCTGGATTGCTTGCTGCTGTGTTTGTTCATATCAAACTGGTTCAAATCTGCTGGTTTACAAGTTCAAGAACTGCTGGATAATCCCCTTCCCTTCCCTTCCCTTCCCTTCCCTTCCCTT